TCATGATTAAAACATTAGTTAAATTCTTAAATAAAACCAAATGATCACAATTTAGAGAATTAAGATCAAAAAAAAAAAGAATTATTATTAATTTTGTAACAAATTCAAGATTTTTATAATGCAACTAATGTTGATATGATCAAAGAGATAACATAAAAAAGTAGCTAAAAAATATTCTGAAAATTAAAAAAAAGATAGTTATTTAAGTAATTATAAATAAATAGTATTTTTAAATATAAAATGAATAAAGCAACAAAAAAGAAAAAAAATAATAATATGTTATATTTATTTAATGTTGTATAGTCAACATTTTTGAATGCACACAGTAAAGGTACACACAGCATTTCTTAATTCAGCTTCTTGATTCAGTGTATAAAAGTTCTACAGTAAAACCTTCATAAGTACACCTTTTATACAACTATAAGTGCACACTCTTTCTAAAATACACACTCAAGTTCTGTTCCAAATATATACATGCCTCTATAAATGCACTTTTTCTTGTTGATCTCTAAGTGCATGTTGCTAAAACTTGGCTCCAAAAGTGTGCACCTATAGAGTTTTTACTGTATACTAATAAGCGCGCATGACATTTTAAAAGTACTTTTTTTAATCTACTATATATATGAAATTTGATAGCCAATCAAATTCAATTTCACGAATAAGTTCTAGAAGATTGTATGATGTCGATCGTCGTAGATCATATCTATGTTTAGTAATGCCAAATTTGGAAAAACACCGGACTGCATTATGGCGAAGAAATCATTCTATCACGTGATAGCGAAATTTATTATACTGACACCACTTTCCTCCTAATTGGCGCTCAATTGTTTGATCGTCGCTCTTAGCCAATCAAAACCGAGATCTGCCGGAACAATTTTGCTGTGAAAATCTTGATTTTGTAAGCAGTAGGGACCTAAACATTTAAACTTTTGCCAGCCCGCTCGGCCCGCAAAATAAAATTTATTATGTTTTTTAAAAGTTCGGCCCGCTTTTTACCTCACCAGGCAGTGCATACAATCCCATAAAAATTATGATTTTAGTGCTGTCTCATTTTTTTAATTACATTTTTTATTAACTGATAAATAAATAAATTTCTATAGAATTTTCATAAAGTCATATATAATAATTAAATCATTTACGATTATACTATTTTATATATAATATATTTTATGAGTAATGTGCTAATTTTATATACTCAAATGCGATTTTTGTAATATACTCCACTACTTTACCAAACCATACCTTTCTACTATTCGTAATACTGGTTTTCGAGGTAGGTGCATACTATACCGAAGCTCAAGCTAAAAGAATAACTGCTTTGGTATTCACTATGATTCAGTACTGAACGGAATAACAAAAGTACGACAACAAAATAAATTATTTGCCCATATTAACGTTAAGTCACGTTCTGATATTTCAACTGCAATCTTCACACGGGCAAGGAGAGTGTGGCACCAGCCGGAGTCGAACCTGCAACATTTCGTTACGGACCGCGTTCTAACCGTTAATCCATATCAGAATGATCACTTATTTTTGAAATGTACTCTTTATAACTGTATAAGAGGTGTCTAAAGTGACCAATCAAATTATAGAAATTTTACGATCCTGGCAAATATAGAGCCAGTGGTCATTAGTACGTAACAAGTCTTGCGCCTGCCCATGTGCTGGGAGTTTTTAGCTACTCTTGTGTCGTTACCTTAAAACAGTTCAGCAGCCAACCGAATTTTTAGATCAGGTGTATCAAAACTTCAATGTGCTAAAAGAGGTTGATCCGCGGCTCTTTCTAACCTAATATAATAACGAATCCTGTTCTTAATGAAATCTTTGGGTTGGTGATGCTAGAGTTCTAGTAAAGTTTAAATTGGCTGACCCGAAAGGAGTGATGTGCCACGTACAATACTATAAGTACTGTACGCTAAAATTTTGTAGGTCAAAAAATACATATGTACGTACCTAGTGTTAATAGGCCTCGTTTCAGTAACTGTATGGTGATTATTTTTAGCAAATAATAGAGGTTTTTTTGATACATAATCAACATTTGTTCGAGAAACGAAAAATTTGATCGCATAGTTTGGGCAGTGCAGCTCAGAGCGCATAGTCTAAGCAGCACAGCTTAGAGTATGCGCTGAGAAATAGGAATAGTAGCAGGTATACAATCTTTTAGTTTTGTAAAACCTCCTACACCTAAGAAAGTTAATCTGTGAGACTTGATTTTCCAAATAATTTCTTTGATTTCTTGATCTGCAAAATTTATTAGCAAATAATCAACTAGTCGATTAATCGATTAATCAATCGATTAGTTGACTAATCCACTAATTGCTATATCTCCTGAACTTACAAATAAAATTACGTCTATCAGACTTATTATGTCTATTTTGCAATATACTAAGATAACAATCAGTAACAAAAATCAGATCAGCGAATCCAACGTTACCACTAATCAAGGAGCAGTCACATAATCCAACAACCTGACTTTATTTTGATGCACATTCTTGTAACAAACCTTTTTATGATGAACGTATTCTGTCCGGTATCGAATAATAGTAAACTACTTCTATAAATAACTTATAAAAATTTTTATTATAAGAACTATCAGTTCATTATACGAAAATTAATTGTATATGGGCTGCCATCAATAGAAATCAAGCAGATCTACATTTGAAAAAAAATTAATGCCTTAATTTTCACAGCTCATATATCGATGAATTTTAAAGCTATCTTGATGATTTAATATTCAAAAGAAAGCTTACGATCTATGCTTTCTTTTGAATGTTAAATTACCAAGATAGCTTTAAAATTCATCGATATATGAGCTGTGAAAGTTAAGGCATTTATTTTTTTCAAATGTAGATCTGCTTGATTTCTATTGATGGCAGCCCATATATTCATTTTGTTATTCATATGCCGACAAAAAAGAAAGATGGCTCATATATAGAAATACAAGAAAACACAATAAACAAACAATTACAACACATTCACGCTATAGTAAAGTTCTCACTACAACTTATAGCGAGAAAATACTAGATTATTATTATTAGGGATTGGAACCGTTTAACCGTTTAAAACTTGCTCCATAGTTCCGAGCAGAATTATGTTGGTCGTGGGCCGGAATTATTTTAATGCCGGCCAAATTAAACGGTTAAACGATTAAACGATTTAAGAAAATTTTTAGGCGGTTCCAATCCCCAATTATTATATAGGAAAAAAGACCAATTTGACAATTTTTTCCAAACAAATTTTTTAAGCTTAACTAATTTAAAATTAGCTCAGGAACATTTTTCACTTAAGAACGAAATGTTATTGCATTAATAAAATTTTACAGTATAATCTTTTGAAATCCGTATTTTCTTATAAGTTAATATAGATTTTAGCGTTAGATTATTTCTTAATCAAGTTTATCTTTAGAATCAGGCCTACCGAATATTGATTATGAGGGCAATTAATTATATGATCCTAATTAATTAATTGGTGACACAGTCACAGAGTCAATTGCAATTTTGCAGTTGCTTGAAAAATGTAACAACTTGATAAAATATATAATAATAAAGTATGTGTATATTTGTAGATATTTGATGTCAAAACTTGTAATTTAAAAAAAGCAATCAAATAATCATTTTTTTGAATTAAAGTTGTACAAATCACAAGAAAATTTACATTCCTTTACGAAGACATGTATATAATATAGCATTCTACCTCTTTTTTTTTAAATTGATCCCAATGAATGCTAAAGTTCCAAACAAATGTTACATAACTTCTTTCAGATTATAGCTGATAAGCAAAAAGATGTTTTTTTTTAGACCTTCAAATGATGGCAGGCATTGGTATAATTTATATTCTTTCAGATCATAGCCAATAATTAAAAAGATGCTTTTTTTAGACCTTCAAATGATGGCAGATATTAGTGTAATTATGTTCTTCCGGATACAGCCGATATGTATTTGAATATAATCGGTTTTTTCAGTCTCTTAAAATTTTACATTATCGGCGAAATTTATAGTAAAAGTCGGTAAAAATTGCAATTATTCACAATAACAATTTTAGTGGATCGTAATTACATAAAGATTGTATTTTTCGGTACCCCTGTTAAGAATATGTTTAACCATTTATTCTGGTCTAATCATAGTAGTTTCATCTCTTAAAAACAACTAAGAAAGCTTTTCCTTCTAAAAAAAAAAAAATAAAGGATTAATAAAAATTTTCTTTGGAATGCATTCTCGATTGGTGGTATTCTTGATTTTTGTTAAACGTTAAAGCGATCTCATAAAAATTTCAATTTTGTGAAAGCTGCCGTAAAAATAATAAATTTAGTTACTTCTAAATTCTTTTTGGTACTGTTTCATATAGTTTTTTTTTTTTTTATTAATCGATAAATAACTTCTGTAAGGTCATATATAATGATTAATTCCTTTACAATTATACTAAAGTGTGATTTTTGAGTATACTCAACTACTTTACAAATCATACACCACTACTATTCGTAATACCAGTAATTTTATGTGTATAAATTAGTTCAGCAGTTTTGAATTTTGTTTTTACGATTTACAATTGCTATTTTGAATTAGACACCTTAATAAGTTACTATTTTTTAGATTTTCAAAAGCCAAACTATCTAACTAAAGTTATTACTTATATTCTTTAATAATTTTCACAAAATTTAATTCCCGCACAGTCTAAATTAATATTATAGATTTACGAGCAAAGTTATGATGTCATTTCTTTTAAATATAGCTTCACCGTTTTAACCAAATCAATAACCGATAAACGTCTCTCCGTAGATATAATGCGCTAAATTGGGTGATTCCTAAATACAGATAATTTAGCAGGCGTGGACGAACCAATCTCACAAATAGAACTATTTTAAATACAGATAATTTAGCAGGTGTGGACGGACCAATCTCATAAATAGAACTATTGAGTATTTTCTTATAAAAGAGGCCTGTTTTAGTCGTCATGTATACTTGTCAAATAAAACACTCTTGCACACATATTGAACCAAAAATATGAAGAAATTACTTGTATACTTTTTGGTTGCGTCTCTTCTGACTTCTTTAGTTGTGGCGGTTCCGCAAGTAAAATCATCCAGTAACAGCATTAAGGTCACAGAACCCACTACGAATCAAAAGGTCGGTGGCACAGTGGACGTAAAATGGGATACTACCGTCATTCCCAAAGGTCTCAAAACCACCGGTATGTTGGTTCACTTGTTATATATTATGCCCATACATATATCTCACTCTAGTACATTTCTTGGTAGACAACATTAGTACCCGTATCAGATGTAACGTGAATAATAGGACGAGGCAGTTTCCAGCAAAAGCTATAATACCAGTAAGTATTCTAATGCTTTGTGCATATTGCGTAGGTTATATGTTAATATTTACACACACTATAGGTGCCCTTTACGGTTGGAAAAAGGGAGGTTGGTATCTCTGATGACTCTGATCTCATTGGAGTTTCATGCCAAGCATTTGTTACCGATGATGACAACTTAGACATTCAAGGAGTTTCGAAAAAGTTCAAACTAGTTAAATAACACCTCAAAACATTAGGGTGCCCAATTATATCCTCATTTTTATCACTAAAATGAAATTTATTTTTACTGGTTACAAAACCGGTGAAGCTTGATTTTTTATTCTTTTATTCTTAATCTTTTATTAATAAAGATATCTCTCGCGCGAGATAAATTTCAAATATCATGTGATCTCGTGAGATATGTATGACCTCATATTCGACGAAATTTAGAATTCAGCAAATTATAAGGATAATAAATGTTTTTTATTACGTAGTTAAAAGCTGATGATAACTATTTAAAAATTTTACTGAGTTGAAATACAGTTAATCAAATTTCTTATTAAAATACTTAATGTGTTTAACGGATTAAAAACAATTATATTGCTTCTTCAGTCTAACTTCGATCTAGTCACTCTTGATGTAGTCACAAATTGTAAAGTTAACTATTGTATTCGGTATTGGGTATTGGGTATTTTACTGGTCCAGCTTCAAAATCTGGACTGGACTGGACTGAACTGTTCCACTGGAGCAAAACATACATTTTTGATACTTCTACACCTACTTTTTTAATACATCTAAACATACCCTAAAACTAACCAATGAAATCGCACATTATTATAGTAAAAGTTAGTAAAAATATAGAAATTTTAGAGTATGTTTAGATGTATCAAAAAAGTAGGTGCAGAAGTATCAAGAATAAATGTTTTGCTTCACTGGAACCAAGGCTAACAAATAATTTTTAAATGACTTAAATGATCTAATGACTAAGTTATTTATTATTTGGTTATTTTAATAACAAATAACTAATACTTGTATTTTATTAACCTATTTGTAAATTATTTTATAATATTGCAATACCTAATTAGTTAATAAAAAATATAACTCAAACAAGAAATTATTAATATTATATCTTTATATTTTATATTTTAAATGATAATAAATATAGTTTTTTTTTTTTTTGGTGTTAGGTAACTTCTTTGGTCTTTTGATTTTTATTAACAACTTTTTTGGTAATATGATTCAGTGAACCATTACAGGAGAGTATACAATTGGCTACACATGTAATTTTTCTATATTACCTATTTAAGAAGTTCACTTGAAGTTTCTCTACCAATTGTTGTATCTAACACTTCTGCTTGAGTGTTCTATTTTAAATCCTCTGAACTTGCAATTTGTATTAATTTCACTGAGTTATACTCAGATGTTCAGATTATTATCTTAACTTTAGGATTATTTTATTTTTGAAATAAACTTTTCAAAGCCTTTTGTATTTATTTTTACAGTTAACTTAATATTATTATAGCAAAATCAATACTTATAATCAAAACTAATTATTAAACTGTTATATTCTTATAGAGTTCATACAAACCCTAGCATTTACTTTATAGCATATTCTTAATACTTTAGTATACCTTTGTTTTTTTATCAAATTTCTAATTCAAATAGTCTATATAAGATTATAATCAATTTATCAGTATATCAGATCAGATTAATATTTTTTTCTTCTGGTTCATTTTAGTAGTCTGGTTGATAATACCTGCAAGTCTTCTTCAACTAAAAGGTTTTTGCTTGTCTGAATACTATGATATTGGTATCTGTTTTCAATAGTCTAGTTTTTATAATAGGGTCATCAAAGATCTAATTATTCTTTTATTTAGGTCTTCTTAAATAAACTTCTTGTTATTTAATTTTAATAGATTTATATATTTACAAAAACTTATCTAGTGTTTGCATTATTAAATTATTGATTTGTATTTCTCTATATAATGTCATACTTATACAGATGCCTTATGATCTGCCAGTTATACTATTATGACTGTTATTACAAGTATCCTAATTTATTCATTAATAATAGTTGTTATAATATAAATATTATAGATAATTATTTAAATTTTTATTGTTAATAGAATTTGAATATCTAACCTATTACTTGAAAGGTTAACAACCTAACTACTTACCACATCCCAATAAATATAGTATTTAAATTATATATAAATAAGTTTAATTATAACTAAAAAATAAATATTCTTATATTAAAATTCAATTATATAAATGTTTAATCTTAAATAATAAAAGTATAATAACTTAGTAAACTAAATAAGTTGTCAACTCTTTAAGTGATAAGTTGTGAGTTCAAAACCTACTAATATCAAAAATTTAAATAATCATTTATGTAATATACAGGTAATATTATGATAACAGTATTCTGTTAATCAGTTGAAATAAAATACCTATAACTACAGTTACACTAATATGACTAACAGGTTATAGAACATTTGTACAATGTTAAAGTTATATAGAGAAATACAAATCAGCATTAGGCAATGCAAATTCAAGATAAGTTCTTGTGTCTTTGTAAATCTGTAGAACTGTGAAGCTGAAGTTTACTTAAAAAAACCCAAGTAAAGAGGTAGCATAGATCTTTAACAGTACTACTGTAAAGGCTAGATCTAGAAAACAAATACCAATATAGAAGAAATTAAGTAAACAAGAATCTTGGATAAAGGGTATCACCAATTAGACTATTAGAAGTCTTGAATCAAATAAAAAAAATCTTGAAAGATAAAATCCTAAAATACCAGAAACAGGTCATAGTTTGTTTAGTTTATCTGAATTGGAAGTTTGAGAACAAAAATAAAAGTATACTATAAGTACTAGAAATATGCTATGAAGTTAATATTAAGGTTTAAATGAACTTTACAAGAGTGAGCCCTGTTAACAAAAGATTAAATATAGGTAGTTAGTTAGCAAAAAACTTTCTGGAGCCCTACAGTTAGATAATATACTCTGAAATATATAATGGCTTAACAAATATACAAACAATAAGATCAGAATTAGGTTAAACAACACTTTAGTATATGGAAACTTATACATTATCTGTCAAGTATAATTTAAAGATTAAAGTATTTAATTAAATAATCTTCTAGCAGATTACAGATATGATAGCTAGTATAGAATATATAGACAGACTACTTAAATAAATAGCCAAAAGCTATATATGTAGCTAGTTGTACACTCATCTTGTATAAGTTATATAACTATAAAATCACAATAAAAATAGTAACTGCTAATAACTAATGGTCTTAGTAAAAATAAAAAAAAATCTTAAGTAAAATATAAATTAATTTATAAAAAAAATACAAAGTTTTTAATTATTACAATTAGTATAATATAAAACAGTTTTTATAAAAATATATAAAAAAAAATGAAATAAAATTTTTGTTTTATAAAAAAAGAAAACAAAAATTAATACAAAAATTAAAAAAAAATTAATAAAAAAATAAAAGTTAAAAAAATATAGTAACTTGAAATAGCAAGTAAATTGTCAATTCTAAGTGATAGATCTAGTATTTAAATTCTATTTATAATAAAATTTAAAATTATATTTATATTATAACAGACTATTTCTTAAAATTGCTTAAATTAGTATATTTGTAACTTTAGATCATATTATCTTAAATAAAAGATTAAATCATTTATATGAAGTATAATATTATATATATACAGTCTAACCTCTATATAGTCACCTCCCATATAGTCACAAAATCGTTATAATCACCATTATAAATTTACCAATTATTTTAATAATATTTTTACTTCTATATAGTCACAATTATATTATAGTCACTATCATATTTTTTTTTTGACCATAATATAGAAATTGTTCTCTGTAAAGTCACATATCATGTGATTTTTAAATCGGCCAATAAA